CAATGATGACTCATTATTTCGATGAATAATTTCTTCAGACAAAAAAAAAATTATGTAAACACTTACTCGAAATCTCACTTGTCAGATTCCATTGTGGAAGACGATATTTAACATCATTTTTGGCTACTCCCTCTAAGGCTGTGTTCACGTAATCCATTAAAATAGCCTCAACATCTGCTGCGATATATTACGCTTCACTGCAAAATCAATCATCTCTTGTCTGTCTTCTGTTTCTTCCTATGTGTACATTTCCATCACCGTATTATCAATCAGAACATGTGTTTTAAAATATATAACACATAATTAAAATAAAGAGACTGAGAAATCAACTTACGTACCCATTATTAAAGGCAAAGTTGGTACCCCAGGCATTTTCTTTGATACTCCAACCAGAACCAATTTTCCTCCTGTCTTCAACAGATCAACCAATAATGGATGGAGAGAGTGAGGTCCAGCAACTGTGTCTATAATTCCATCCATTCTGTTCTTTGCGTCCTATATTCAGAATCCCAATGATCATTAAGAAGGATCTGATTTATTAACAAAACTATTGGCATGAAACATTATGACATGAAAGAACAAGAAACATTTAGATACCTGCAATTGTTGTTGGTCGGTCACCGTGGCTTCCCATTGCTTTTTTCTTCTTCCCAGGAGAAGTACTTATCAAAGCGACCTTCATGTTCATAGCTTTAGCAAACTTGACAGCCAGGTGACCAAGTCCTCCTAACCCCAAAGCACCCAAATGCTGACCAGCCTGACACAACCATAGTATTTCATGGGACTGTACACTGTGAGTCCAGCACATAATAATGGCGTTGCTCCATCAAGGGGCAAGCTATTGGGCATTTTGACAGCAAAATGTTCATCAATCACAGTTTTGTCAGAATACCCACCATAGCTGCCTGATCCATCTCGATCAAGTGAATTATAAGTCCCAATTTTGCTGGGGCAATATGCTTCACAACCTTGGTTGCAGCTAGAACAGGAACGACACGAACCAAAAAGTGGACCTATACTTGCGATGTCACCGATTTTGGATTTCTTTGCACTACGACCCACTTTCATCACTTCCCCCACAAGATAGAAGGCGTCGCCTCCCAGTTCATTCCTGAGACAATTAAAATCGGCGTGGCAAATCCCACAGTACAGTATCTTGACCGTGATATCATGATCACCGTTGGCCCTGTACATATAGATGTATATTCAAGAACAAATAAAATGGTTAAGTTAGTGTGCGAGCGCGCGCACACATATATATTTCCATTTGTAACTATACAATAAGCAACATGTGAATGTGCTATGTATATATACCTTTTGGAGAAGTGGAAAGGCGAGACAATTCCCGAAGATTCTCTCGCGGCTAATCCAAAGATTGGTATTCTCTCATTTTTCTTGTGCTGAGATAATGTTTGCCATATTAATTGCTGGGAATGGATAAGGGGAACGGCTTCTCTCCTTTTCTTTTTCTCTCTGCTGCTGTCCGCTGCTCCGCAGGGAAGGTTAATTATTGGGGAAATCATCACCCATAAATCTTAGGCAAAAATACCTAAATACATGGTTGAATTCTCAGAGAATTGAGCAAATGAAAGGAATTATATTGAAGGTAAATATTTATCTGTACAATCGCGTAGCTTCTCTATGGGCACTAGAAAGTCAACAAGGGAAAAAATATAATCAGGATATCAGAGACAACAAACTTGGCCCAACAATCAGCCGGCTCAATGTACACTAATATTCTCTGCACACATGTAGGTCCCTCCCATTTTATTTAACACTAGTACGTCTCAAGCAATTTAATATTTATGAATTTAAGTTATGAATGACATAACTCAATTTATAAATATTAATTACTTGTTTCTGGCAAAAAAAAACCATATAAATATTAAAGGTTTACATTAAATCTTGAATTGTTCAGTTTTACTTATATATTGTAGTGACTCCCAAAGCATAGTGTAGTCTATAAGCTTAAAGGGCTTTTCCTCTCAATAGTTAGTTTTTTTGGGGATTAGGCTCAATCAAACTAGAAACAACTAATACAAACACACAGAGGGGTCATTTTCCTACAATCCCATATCAGAAAAGCCCCTTTCACAAAAAAAGAAAAGAAAACCCCCTCCTATATATGGTGATCCGAAGAGGAAGAGGTAGGTCGTTGTCCAGCTCAATTAGCTATGCCAAGAGAGGCTGAAGGCCATAAACATATGAACCAAGTCAAGTGAGGAAGCATGCAGGCAGGACCATTGTTAGCGACTGTAACATGAAGTGCAATGCAAGTTTAAGTGGATTAATTAGGCGGTCGGCTTAATTAGGCGAGAGGTCGCTTTTGAGTTGATCTTTGATTAGGGCCAGTTGTGGATAGAAGTATATTCCTCCGCTTTTAAATGCATGAGCTGGTTAAGAAATCTATTCTGGGTCTAAATAAAAAAACTTTAAATCTATTTTAACTCTTATATTTCAGTTTTTCTCAAACTAATTTATTTAACCTATAAACTGGTATATATAATATTATATAATATAACATAACGTTACATGAAAGTACTTTAAAGAGACCATGTTAATTTTGTTAGAATTAAATAACTTATTTAGCTTTATTAGTTTATCCAAATTAATTAAGTTTTTATTATATTAAGAACATCCCGGGATGAGTAACCAAACACTCATGTGTTAGCTCCAAATCGACAATTCAAAACACTCCGCGGGGAAAATGAAATTGAAACGCTAATTTGATTTATGTGTGTCATTAATTAGAACCAGCTCTGTGAAACGTGATCTTAACTGGGGAAGAGGCAGAAAGCATAGAACACGTTATTGTATATATTTGGTGTCTTCTTGTCACTTTGTGTAGTGAAAGAAAGAAAGGCATGAACAAGCAATGTCGACTCCTTGAGTCCATTCGGCCTTTCGCCCACCAACGTCATTTCTCTTATCGTCCACCGTCGACCCAGTCAATTTGCTCTAACTTGTACTTCCAAAATCTGACACTGGGACATGACATTTTGCAACTTAGCTTGTACTTCAAGATTTGACTTACGATATATTTAAAAAACTTATTCAGTTAGATAACTCGCCTTGTCAATTTCGACCATAGGGTGAGAGGATTCACAATTCATGATCCCAATTTTTTCATGAAAGATTACAAGTCTTCTTGTATTGCAATTGTGCAATGTCTTGGTCTCAAAATCTACTTCACTCTGATACAGAAGAGCACATCCATGTCGAACGTTATGGCGGCAGAAGAAAAGGGAAAAGTAGAGGCCTATGGATGGGCAGCTAGAGACGCCTCAGGAATCGTCTCACCCTTTCACTTTACTAGAAGGTAAGAGCGTGTGTTCTTCAGATTGAATCACCATCTTCGCCTATCAAAACCTTCATGCATGCATCAGTACTGAATAATTTTCTTGCTGCTCAACGAACAACAGGGCAAATGGCGAAAATGACATAAACGTCAAGATTCTCTATTGTGGGATTTGCCATAGCGACCTTCATTTTCTCAAGGATGACTTCGGCATGACCCTATATCCTGTTGTTCCCGGGTACTCCACCAACTCTCATATCTTTGCTACTTGTTCATTTTTGAGTTTTATATAACTATACTCTTTAATTTCTAATGTCTATATGCTGCCTAGTATCTCTCTCTTTGGTTCGAGTTCAGGCACGAGATCGTGGGCGAAGTGATACAAGTGGGTCGTCGTGTCTCAAAATTTAGGGTTGGTGACATGGCTGGTGTAACTGGCGTATGTGGTTCGTGTGGGTCGTGTCTGAGTGCAACCAGGTTCTTGAAATGTATTGCCTAAAAATGATATTAACCTTCAGTGCACGAGATCACGACGGATCAGTAACCCAAGGTGGCTAAGATTGTGGTGGGCGAGCACTTCGCCGTGGTGATTCCAAGAACTCTGCCACTGGACGGAGCTGCCCCGTTGCTGTGTGCTGGAATCTCAGTGTACAGCCCCATGACGAGCCATGAACTGGCTCGCCCTGGTTTGCATTTGGGCGTGGTAGGGCTTGGGGGGCTCGGCCACGTGGCAGTCAAGTTCGCTAAAGCTTCTGAAATGAAAGTGACCGTGGTAAGTACTTCTCCCAGAAAGAAGAAGGAAGCATTGGAACGTCTTGGTGCTGATGCCTTCCCAGTGGCCGTTTGGATTAGCGATTGAAAAAGTAGCTTATTAAAAAAGTAGCTTATGGATAAATGAAGTTGGGTAAAAGCTAAATTGAATAAGTTGAATTGTGTTTGGATTGGAGTTTAAAAAAACTAGTTTACAAAAGTAAGATTGATAAAAAGTTGTTTGGATTATGGATGAATAAAAGTAAGTCTAGTTGTAAAATGACCAAAATGAGTATGAGTTTTAATAAATAACGAAACATGATAAAAAAATTTGTATAATATAATGAATTTAAATTAATTTAATATGAAGAAGTGAAATTTAACAGGTGATTTAAAATTTAAAATTTTAAAAATAAAAAAAAAATATTTTAAAAATGAAGCTCCTTGGGCGGCAAAATAATGAGCCTTTACGTTAATCTGAGAAGGGTCATGGGTGATGAAAGCTTGATAAAAAAAAAGAAGAAGTAAATAGGGAATAATGATAGAAGTGGGAGAACAACAAAGGAGGAAATAAAAAAAAAAAAAAAAAGGACCCTCTGACAGCAACGAAATTGTGGGAGAGCTGAGGTGAAAAAAACGAAGAAAGTTGAAATGAGAAAATATGGCAAAAGTGAGAGAAAAGAAGCTCTGGTAGAAAATAAACTCTTCAATAAGCTATAAAATTCAGCTTGAGAGACAACGTACGTTTGCCGGCTTAAATTTCATAAGCTCCTTTTTTTTTTAAGCCCAACCAAACAGTATGATTTTTCCAATCGGGCTTACACTACGAATAAGCTACTTTTAAGCCCCTCAAAAGCCCTGCCAAACAAACCCTTAATCAGCAAAGACCAACAACATTTGCAGGTAAAACTAATTAATATATCAAACAACTAGCTAAGTCCATTAATTTATCAGCAATTAAATGCATTAATTTTACAGGGATTTAAATCATCGTTCAACTAGAACGTGGCGTTAATTGGAGAACTCTTGATAGCCAACATCATATATGATTGTCCAATATACTGACCAACTACAAAATATTGCTACCCCGAATCCAGAATCACTCTAAACCACCATAGCTAAACCACACAAACCAAACGGGCGGTATGGTAATGTTGAGCCCAAAAGTAACCCAGTCTTAATTGCTCATACTCCCCTCCCTTTATTCACAGAAACCTGGATAGTGCAAAATTAAGAGCTTGGCTTCAGTGTTTCTCCAATGTTAATGACAAATCGATACTTGACATCTGCTTTCGCGAGACGCTCCATTGCCTTGTTCACATAGTCAATTGGAACCACCTCTATTTCTGGATTAACATTGTGCTTAGCAGCAAAATCAACCATTTCTTGTGTCTCCTTCATTCCTCCAAAGGCACTCCCAGCCACCAACTTTCTCCCTGCACAGAAGGTACCAATAATACTGGTTAGCATCATTTTCCTATTTCAATCATGGAATGGCTTCTCGATGATGCTTATTCAACATGAGGTTATTAACATAACCAGCGTGAACTAGAGAAGATGGACTTTTTATGTGCATACCCAAAAGCAAAGGAAAGACTGGGAGTTCAAGAGGCTTCGCTGGGGCACCGACCATAACGAGTTTCCCGTGAGATTTCAACAGACCAATCAAAGGCAAGAGAGGATGGACAGCAGAAACAGTGTCAATGATACCATCAAAGGTACCCATTACAGCCTAAATTAATCAGAATAATATTAGAAGCTGATCGTGACAAATTATCTGATGCAGGCACAACAATATATTCAAGCTAGAGAAACAAATTCTGACAGGTACCTGCATCTGATCTTGCTCCCGGCTGATCACAAAGGAGTCAGCTCCCAGATTTTTTAATGCTTCCTCCTTCTTATTAGGTGATGTACTTATTACTGTCACCTTAGCACCGAAGGCCTTGGCAAACTTCACAGCCAAATGGCCTAAACCACCAAGACCAACCACACCGATATGCAGACCAGGCTTGTCCAGTCCAAAATACTTCAAAGGACTATACACAGTGATCCCAGCACAAAGCAGAGGAGCAGCAGCATCAAGAGGAAGGCTGTCTGGAATGCGAACCACAAAGTGCTCATCTGCAACCATCGAGTCAGAGTAGCCTCCATATGTGATGGTATCATCCACATACTTGGCAGCATATGTGAGGATCATTTTTGGGCAGTAATTTTCAAGATTTTCAGTACAGCTCTGGCATGAGCCGCATGAACCAACCATGCATCCCACACCTACCCTGTCTCCAACTTTGAACTTCTCAACCTTGCTTCCCACCTCTGTTACTTCACCAACAATTTCATGCCTGAATTTGATAGACAAGTAAGAATCATATGCTGCTATTATCAACCAGTACACTTCGGATGAAGATTGCACAAATCATCAGAATCTTTTAAAGCAGTATCAAGCCCAGAAAAGATGATAAAATGAAGCAAATCAATAATCACATCAATAGAGTAAAATAACAGTGTTTGCCGATCCAGTTTTATAACATATCGATTGACGATTAACCTCTATATACCTCTAACGCATCTTTAACCACTTTATAATGACAGATAAAGCACATAAGTGACCAAACTACAGGCCTTAAATAGAGTATTCAGATCCTCATTGAGACAGCATTTTCTAATAAGAAAACAGAACGTTTTGCGAAACAGAGGTGTTCCGATTCCCTGCTAGCATCGAAACAGTAATTAAAAAAAAAATTTAACCCCAAAACAAAATATTACCAAGACAGACTATGCCACAATATCAGTCATGTTCGTCGATGAAAGATTTTGGCAAGAGTGGATACAGTAAGCCTTGCATATGTCAGATTTATAACCTGTGTCAGCGCTATTTTCTTGATTCTCAATGAAGAGAATGGACGACACAAAGAATTCCTTACCGACTTCTCCGGTCACATTGGTTTGTAAATTATTCATTTGTTGGCGACCAGACAATATCCAATCAAACTAATTATATTAAAATATAGTCCGTCATCTTTTTTAGCTATTAAAATAATCAAACGTGCATGGAAAGCAAACGATAACAATATACTATATAGGATCACAACCATAAGCCGCAACAACAATAAAAAAAATAATTCCGACGTGGGCCGAAAGATACCCGGGTACAAGTGGATAGATGGAATTGCTCCACTCGTTCTTTATCATGTGGAGGTCCGTGTGGCAAATCCCGCAGTACAACACTTTGAACCTCACATCTTTTTCTCCTGTTTCCCTGCGAAAACACCCGATTTATATTAATCAGAAAAGCAGCGAGCTACATTTTATATTTAACACCCATGACAAGAGCCAGCTACCCCTAATTTTCAAAGGATCTGGTCCATCTTGATCTTATATTGTCCAAAAGAGGGAAGAAATGAAAAATATGAATAATCCTTGTAAGAGCACCCATATTCTACAGAAACCGAAAGAATCAAGAGGAATGTGGCACGGAATGACTAGAATGCAAATACAGGAAAGCGTGGAGAAAAGAAGGAAGCTAGGAACCTTCTAGAGAACTTGAGGGGTGAGAGAACCCCGGTTGTATCCCTAGCAGCCCATCCGAAAGCCTTCCGTGGATGCTCCGTCTCTGGCGGTGCAGCCATTTGAATCTGATGGAAGTGACTCGCGAAGAAATGGAAATGGAGGGACCGCGAACAAATGAAGAAGAGAGTGCAGTACGTTTCGCAATGGAGCCGTGATGCATCTGCCTTTTATAAGGTTCTCGCCCTCTAGGTGACTCCTGAACGGGGAAAGCACGCATGCGCGTGCTATAATTTACTATCACAATATTAAAAATAACAGTGAAAGCTGAAGTCTCGTCTGGTCCTTAACTCCTCACGGGAATGACTTTTTTTTTTGGTTAAAATACATCCAACACCTTAAAATATTTTTTCAGATATACTCCTCCGGTCTTAATTATAAGACCCAATTGACTTATTTGAGGAGATTAAGGAAGTAAGTTAAGTTGGTTATTTATAATAAATAAGTGTTGTTATTCCTAAAATATCCTTGCTAATTAAGTATATTGGCTAAAACTATCATTATTAGAAGGATTATCTTGGAAAAAAATGCATAAATATAAGAGAGAAAATGGATTGGGTCTTATAATTAGGACCAAATAAAAAGTCAAATTGGATCTTATAATAAGGACCGGAGGAGTATCTAATACCCCAAAGTATTTTGTTATATATTCAGCACTCCAAAGTATTTTTTAGGAGTGTCTATCACCTTAAAGTATGTTTTTTTGTCTTGTTGCTGGATGCACTAAAAAATATTTTTAGGTGCTGGACGCAACTAAAAAAAAAAACTTTGAGATGTTGAATGTATCAAAAAATATTTTACGATGCTGGACGTATCTAAAAAAAATTTCAGGGTGCTAGATGCACTACAAAATATTTTAGAGTGCTGGATACACCCGAGAAAATACTTCAAGATGTTGAATGCAGCTTAACTTTTTTTTTGTTCAGAAGTTTGGACAAGGTGTAATTGGATATTTAAAAGGATAAAACCTTTAAGATAATTGACAATCAGCATATTTTTCCAACAAAAATTAAATTAAGATAAAATTAAAAAATAATTATTAAATACCTTACAAATTATAGAATGCTGTATTTAGATGTAAATTTTTTTTAACTTTCACAGGAGAATTATCATTTGAAACAAATGGATTATGTAAGTAAAAAAGATACCCCTTCTCTTTACCAAAAAAAAAAAAAGGAAATTGTGGGAACACAAGTAGATTGAATATTTGGAAGTGGTTTTTGCATGGAAGGCAAGTGGGTGGATTAAAATTCAGGAGAAATCATTTTCAGTGCAAACAATTGAAAGTGTGGCCTGCAGCCCCAAAAATGTCATGACCACGGGAAATTTCATCCGCATAATTTTTCTATCTCTTTCCATATTACTCCTTTCTCACCCATAAAGTCACGCACAATAATTGAAGAAAGTGGATATTTTATTTTTTGCCATATGGAAAACATTAAGCAGCTCCAAAAAGTTTTCAACAGTACACATTACGAACATTAAAGGGGTGTTTGGGTAAGATTAAGGTTGTGTTTGGGTGATACCCCAAACCATAGTTTGGGGAATAAATCACCTAAACACTCACCCAAAAACCAAAACCATGGTTTTGGAAAAAATAAAATTTTTTTGTTTTTGGAGAAAAAAGGGAGAGTGTAAGAGCCTATAGGATATGTATCTTGTTATTTTTTTTATAAACATAATTTTTTATAAACATATTTAATCTTATATTTTATAAATATATATACATATTAATTAATTATTAATTATATTATCTTATGTATTACTCCCTCCGTTCCTTATTATAAGAGACAAATAACCAAATTACGTCGATCAAAAAAACAGTTAAAATTAGTTGAGGACAATTAATATGTAAAAAGTATAATGTTTTTTTCCAACAATGCCCTCATTAATAAGGAGAGAGAGTATGAGAGAGAACAATTAAATTATTAAAAGAAAGAAAAGTGGAAGGGAGAGTATGAGTTGGAGTCAAAATAAATAGGGGTAAAATAGGAAATCAATACAAAAAAATAGAGACAACTTTTAAGTGTCTCTTATATATGGGAACATGTTATAAGTATCAAATGTCTCTTATAATAAGGAACGGAGGGAGTATTAATTATGTTAATAAAAAATATATTATTAACAATTTTATTCCTTCAAATTAAAATATATCATAAAATCTATTTTTTCTGTAATTATCATATTAACTTATGTCTTTTTTTAGTAATTTGTATATATAAAAAGTGCTTCTGATAACAACTATCCAAACACTCTCACTTCTCAAAATTACTTTTTCATAAAATCTATTTTTTCCAGAATCTATTCTCCAGAATCACTTTTCCAAACCACGGTTTGGTTTCATCCAAACACACCCTAAAACTATGGTTTTAGAAGTGTTTTTACGGTATACGAAGTAAATATGTGGAAGAGTTTATCTCGATTTACAAAAAAATATTTCTGAAAAGTGATTCTTAAGGTACCTAAACACCCCTTAAGATAGAGATGAACGAATAAAACAATCAATAATTATTCAGGAAATTAGTTCATTCTTATGTGCGTGCGTGCGTGTATACATGGATGGCGTAAAACGCGGGAATATAAATTTTTGTAAGTAGTTATTACGCAGTAAAGTCAGCCCTGCATATATTTAAATATATGGATTTTTTTTGGTATTGATTTGATGGCATACGCATAAAATAAATCGGTGTGCTTTTATTTATTGGAAGAATATACATAAAGCACCTCTCAAGCCACGCATACGAAAGGATCAAAAGAAGGGAGAATAACTGTTAGATATTAAAATAGCAATATAATTATTCCGATAAATTTTTTTATAAAAATGTTTTTAGAACTAAACCGCGCCTGGTATCCTAAGCATGTCTTATAGTTACTAAAGAATTCATCAGAATTTAAAAGGTGTTTGAGTAAAATTTAAATCATGATTTTAAAAATAATTTTACGGTATACGAAAAAAATATGTGATAAAAATTATCTCAATTTGCGTAAAAATACATTTGAAAAGTGCTTATAAGGAACGCCAAATATCTTGTCAGAAAAATATTTTTAAAAAACACTTTTTGTAAGTGGAAACAAATTACTTCATATATTTATTTTGTATATTCTAAAATTATTTTAAAAACCATAACCACATTCTATCTAAACATCCTCTTAAACTAATAAGAATCCAGTGGGATGAAAGTTCTTTCTTGTGGCAAGTTTCATCTCTCGTGTCACATTCTTAGCGTTGGTCCGCATTTGATGCTCATTAAGTAATGAGCAATCTGAGCCATCCATATCTAATCTGGACGATCCAGATTTCATATTTTCAAATAATTATTTTAAAATAAAAAATTAATTTTTAAAGTATGATATTTGAAAGATTATTTTTATTTTTTATCTTATACCTATCAACATAATTATTTTTAAAAATAAAAATTAAATTAAATTCTAACCGTCCAAATCAGATGTAAATAAGTGCTGGGCCTCGGAGCATCCAACGCAAACCTTGTGGGTGCTGAACTTAAAATCTCTTCATCAAACTCGTACAACTCCCTTTCAAGTCTCTTTTCATTTTTTTCAGCCATAGCCTTATCAGTGGCTGATAATGATAATATGTGTCGGGTTGGGTGTGGCTTCACGTCGTTGTCATCCTGCCTTACACTTAATAGCGAACAAGTAGTCTCACGCCATATTCTCGAGATTCGACAATAATGGTGTTTGAAAAATTGAATTGGAAGATATTTTTATGCCCCTGCTTTTTGTTTTTTTTTAATAAATTGTGCCACTGTTTCTAAACGTACACATAAAATGAATTTCTTTAATACAAATATTTTTTTAATTTTATTCGACACTGTCAGCTCTTAAATATACACATTTTTTATTAAAAATTTAAATATCAATTTATCACATTATAAGATATTAGCTATTTCGTAAAACCCAACCCTATTAATATACATGAAAAGAATTTAAACCCATGCATGAACAACTTTTGGCCTGAAAAGTGTTGGTTATACTACTTCCAGTTTTTAATAAAAAAATTAGTTGATTAATTTGAGTTGACTAATAAAATTCGTTAAGCTAGTTATTTGTAATAAATATGTATTGTCTTTCTTAAAATATCTTTACTAATCAAATGTTATTTGATGAGACATTTAACATATGTAACTATTGTAAGGGTTATCTTTAAAAAATAAATAAATTTTAAAAATAAAATAAATTAAAATCTCATATTTAGAATCAAATTAAAAATTAAACTAACTCTATATTACATACTGAGAGTAGTACTTTTTCTAAATGAAAATTGCATTTTTCGGGCTCTTATTGTTATTGATCGGGAAAAAAAAAGAAAAAGAAAAAGAAAAAGAAAAACGATGGTGGGCCTCCAATAGCCACTGACGATGATTCCAGCACCTATACCAATAGCCATGATGAAATGATATTATTTTTCTATCGGAACTTTTTTTTTTTTGCAAGGCATTAAAAATTAATCTTGTATATTCTTATGCTAAAAAAATCGAAATTTATAGGAGTATTGTCCGAGTATTTAAGGAGAGGAGGATGGGGACGTACTAAAAAAAGAGAAGCAACCACCAGGAATTTGTCAGCTTTGGCAAATTTGTATTGTTGCAAACTAATTATTGGATTTGAACAGTGTTGTGTTCAGTGACGTGTAAGTCACTTTTCCTGTTTTCAAAAATTAAAACGTGATCCATATGTGCAGTGGATAAAAGTATTTGGCACAGTGAAAGTCGAGGCGTAGTGTACTAACACGAAATGAAGCAATGAACGTATATTTGAATTGACGTTATAGGAGTGATGAATCACATCCATTTCGGCCCACAAGATGGACCTTAGCATAGAAGAGGGCAACTGCCACAGACATTGGGATCAAAACGGCAAGAGCAATCAACGGGAGTTTGATCTAGTAAAAAAGATTAGTCTCTCACAACGTAGTGAATTAAGATTCGAATTCCCACTAGAAAAAGTGTTTACATTTATCATCTGACAATACCTCGAATAGAATTGTGTCTAATAAGAAGATACTCATGCTTTAACAAACAAAAAAACGACAAGAACAGAAAACGGAATTGGATAAAAACAAACACAAAGAAGAAGAATCTTTCATGACTCTAATCAATAGGGATATTTTAATTAAGACGGATGGGGG